AGCCGTCCGTAAACCCCCCACCACCAGCTCCCCCGTCTCCTGGTTTTGGACTTCATGCCTGCTTCTCCTCCCGTCTCGCTGGGGCAGCAGCCTCTCGGCACCGAGGAAGGGAACCGCTCGAGTCGGAAATAAAGCGTTCAGGCAATCCTCTGGGGTCCTCTCCCTGCTTGCCGGCTGAGAGACCCACGAAGGGGCTGCTGGGCCTTGCCGGAGGGTGGGGAGAGGCAGGGGAGGGTGGCAGCACAGGCCAAAGCCTGGCTCTGTCACCTCTGCCATCAGCCAGGGGCTGTGAGGAGCCTCTGGCTCTGTTGCCTGGCCCTGAGCGCTGCCGCCGGGGTTATCCTGGCAGATGGACCCGCCTGTAATTGCAAATCAAGCAGCCAAAGGCCAGAAGGGTCCCCCGTGGGGAGAGCTCAGTTTAAACTAAAAAGCTTTAAATCTCTCTGCACCTGTCAGTGATTTCGGAGCTGGCCTGGCCTCCCCACCCCCAGCCTTTTTTTATTTTCCCTGCTTGGGCTACGCTGCACTTTTCATATCCCGCTGGTGCTCCTTCCTCAAAGCCACCACTGTGCTCTGCGGAGCGGGTAGCCAGGCTCCAGCCCTCCCGGGGGGGAGGCAGCACCCCCCAGGACCCGGCCCCTGCCTGGAGGGCTGGGGGGGAGCTGTGCTTGTGGGGCAGCTCTGCTCCCCCCGTCTCAGGAGTCGGGGCTGGGGTCTGGCCCCAGGCTCACCCGTGGCCATGGCTCCATCCTGCCCTGTGCAGCGGGGCTCAGGGGGTCTGTGGGGCACCTCCCCCAGAGAGGGGGGTGCTGCGGGCAGGTCGCTGCTGGGGTCAGCCGTGTCCCTGGGGCAGGGGAGCTTCCTTCCAGGGCCCTGAAAGCACCCCGGGGTGCAGGCAGCCCGGAGCAGGTCCCAGAGCAACCCTGTCCCTTGCGTGGAGGAGCCTGGTCCCTTGCCAGGGGATGGGGCACTGCCGTACCACTGTGACACCCCCCTGGCGAGGTGGGGCGTGCAGGGATGGGAGCGGCCCCCAGCTCCTCCTTCCCCCCAGGAGCCCCTTTCCCCCTCCTTCCTGAGCAAGGAGCTTCTCCGGTGGCTTGTTTTTCTCCCGTATGTTTATTATGCTAATCCACAAGGATTAAGTTAAACCAGTCAACGCAATCTCCAGTATTTTCCAGCCCCTTTGGGCCAAAATTACCGTCCAGTGTTAAAACAGAAAGGAGGGGAGGGCTGGGCGATAGGGCCGAGCTGCCGGGGAGGAGGACACCCCACGGGCGGTGGGGCAGGGGACGGGAGCGGGGAGAGCCAGAGCTGTCCGGGTGGCTGGGGGACCCCAGTGGCCCAGGGGGTTCCCCGTCCCAGGGCTAGATCTTGGGGCGCCAGCCCTTGATGAACTGCATGATCTTCTTCACCTGGAGCTTGGTGAGGCGGAAGTCGTCGGCCAGGATCTCCTCGCTGAGCTGCACGAAGATGCTGCCGTCGATGCGCTCGC